ACGTATTTAACATAGAATACATATCACTGAAATAGACTCGTATAAATAATGTGTAAAATCACACTATAAGCCATTTCATGCTATGTACTCTTATGTGGGGGCTAATATCTTTTGCGCGATGAGCTCTCGAATGCGTTTTGAAGTAAAGGATTAAGTGTCAAGTGTCACTGAGCTTATTATTTGGTGCGAATTCGCTGCACCATTACAGCGACAGCACTATTGCATATCCACACTACATTATATATGAAATGATAATCTCTATGCATATAGACATATAGACATTCATTCACATAAACATACGCCCTTCCTTCCATGTGTTTGATCCAAGCGCAAAACCTTCACTTTCGCTGCACTAGAAAAAAGGTACGCGTGCCTTGTTCTCCATGGCGGCAAGCAGCGTAGCGCTTCCTTTGCCAGTTTCGTCCTGCAGTGCTGAGTGTAGGCATTTGCATGGTTCGTTGGTTGCGCTGCAGTGCGTGCACATGAACTGGAATGAGCTTTTAAGTAGAATGCATAGTTTTGCTATGTTCTCGTTTTTAGTTTTTGTTTTGTTCTTTTAGTCTTTTTTACTAGTCCTTTTCTCTTTTGATACGTGCAGTTCCTACAAGTATTGACGTAATTGTTTTTACGTCAAAAAAGGACACTAATTTATTTTGGTTTTGGATTGACTTTATTTATGGTTTTAATATATTCAGAGCCAATTATGGACATTTTTGATTAGCAGATTGAAGCAATTTCATGTTCCCTCAGACTACAAAAAGTTTTTGTTTTCCAAAGAAATAAGAGCTTCAATTTCATTGTAGGTTTTTATAAGGACTATATAGACTACTCACTTAAGACCTACTTATTCAGAATTGCACCCTTTAATAAATTCAGTGAATAATATGAGTTTCTTCTAGTGACTGACTTAATTTGTTGAAACAAATTTGAGGTATCTAAGCTAATATCTGTCTTTACGGGACACTGGTCCTATGGACCATGTCCACATGTACATGAGGTACATGTGGTACCTCATGTAGTGCGTGTCTACCAGCTCTTGAAGAAATGAAACCAAAACACCTGATGTGTTTTTGTCCAGGTCTGGCCAGAACTAGGTTAAAGTTTCTAGGGGCCCCCTTCTTCAACTCACTTAGCGATATCTCCAGCATTAGCATTAGCCATATTCTTGCCTTTGTTAATGCCTCTGGCTAGTTTTAGTTTGATCCTTTATCTACTACCTACTATCACGAGGTTTTTGGTGGATTCGAAACGGTTTTTCTTTAGCTAATTGGAGAAGACTCGTCCTCCTTCCATCACAACTAACTAACTAACTAACGATGAGTTTCTTCTGAGCAAATTTAAATATATCGAAGGTCTTCTCAGAGAAAGAGAGAGATGTATAACAAAGGTAAATAAGTTTTAGTACATATATTTATACGTTTATTTATTAAGTATTATTTAAGGATCGCATGGCTTTAAATAGACACGACTAGAAAGAAAAACTTCTGGATTTCAGCAAACCTACAATTCGTATCCTTACTGAATCACTAGCGGTGTACTATGCCATTACACTAACGCTTCAACGATGGCGTATTCCAACAAATGGTTTTTAAGGAAATTGACACGATATTCAGGACTACAAACGAAGAGGCTTCAGAATTGTGAAGATTATCTATTTATTGGTCTGATAGAAATAACGATAGTAAACTTATGGGATCACCTACGCTTTATCTGAAAGACCAAATGGCTTAACAGGGGTAATACACTGAGATAATTCAAAGAAATTATTTTCTTTGAATCATTTCTTTCAAGAAAAAAAAGATTAAATATTATTAAAATCTGAATTGTCAGTAATAACAGTTAGAGTAATTCCCATTTTTCAGTCAATTTTAAGGAAAATCACGGTTGGCAATCGATATTTTTGAAAAAAATTATTGATAATTATATTAGCTTGTTTCCAGGGTATCACAGTGGATCGTTATTCGAGCTCAGATGGGTTTTAGTGTATAAGACCCGTACCTAAACCAAATGTAACCTAACCTAACCTGCATCAAAACGCCCCATGTCACATAGTCTAGCATGTATCAACACGTACCCTGTCAACCTAACCTAACCCATATATCCGTTCAAATACTTTTTAACCGTCCTGTTATATTACAAACATTAACTACTTCTATTATACTGAAGGGAGTTAGAATATCATCCATCACAAGATTGTCAGTTATTTTATTATCAACAAATCTCTCATGGCCACGTGTCCGGAAGACTGTTAGTAGCCATCCTACATAAGATATTATTTCGGCGTTGGACTAACTTTGATTTGATGATCGATCCCAGGGTGGAAGAGATTTTACTACTACCTTGTTAATCTTGTTACCTGTTATATTACAAACATTAACTACTTCTATTATACTGAAGGGAGTTAGAATATCATCCATCACAAGATTGTCAGTTATTTTGAGTGTTAGTAGCCCTCCTACATTAGATATTATTTCGGCGTTGGACTAACTTTGATTTGATGAGCCCGGAGTGGAAGAGATTTTACCACCGCCTTGTTAATCTTGTTACCATGAAATCTCTTACGGGCAGGTATTCTCAAAACTGTCACTTTATATATATTAACCAATTTCGATAAGAAATTATGGACTAACTAAGACTTTGTGATCCAAAGTTGAAGCTTCTCTTGCCGCTGCCTGGTTAATGTAAACCTTCGAATTTCTGACGGACAGGAATCTGGAAGAATGTTACTTTATGCTTAGTGCCTCACTTACATCAGAGACTATTTCAGGTTTGGACTAACTTTGACTTGTTGATTCAAGGTTGAAGAGATTCAATTGCATATTTTCAAACTTCTTATTCTCTTGTTGAAAACCCATATTCGAGTTTTTAAAGGATTCAATAAATTTTATTGAATTTCTGATATGGAATATAAAGAAACTGCAGTTATTAGTTTTATTTTATTTTTTTTTTTTGAATTAGAAAAAAAAGAACTGCAAACATTAAAAAGCTTAGCTGAGGTTTTCACTATTTTTTTTTGTCTTTTTGTTAAATTAAAACAAAAAATTTAAAATAGCAACAGCAACAACAACAACAGCAACAATGAAATGTGCAATAAAAAGCATTGCCGAATTTCGTGAGTTTGTTTTGTTTGTAGGACATTGAGTGGGTGTGGTTCATCAGGGCCAAAAACGATTCGCACTCGTGTAAGCTCATTGCCGGCTCCATAATTACAAGAACAGAGGCGACGGCTTCAACGTCAGAACAAGTGTCAGATTAAAATTTCGTAAAAGCACCGCACCATTTTTTTCGCTTTTTTCACTTTTCCACTTTTCCACTTTTTTCCGTCTTCTGCTTTGCACCACAAAGCGAAAAAGTATTCCTGTGAGCCATTCCATGTGCAAGCAAATGCGTCATTGATTTAAGCTGCGACGTTGCAAGCTTTTCTGGGACTGATTTTATGAATGAAAGTTACTAGTTTTGCCTAACGAATTCACTTAGATATGCACACACTAATGTTAATGCGACGTACGTACGTACATACATTCCTAAATGTAAGTAAATAAGCGCTGACCTTATTTCCCACCAAGTCATGTAGGCCAAAAGCTCGACATGGTTAGAGGGAGTTTGTGGTTGCTGAACTTACAAAAATTGATAGAAAGAAACATAGAACATAGAAATTAGGTGAAATATTGCCGAAGACTACATAATTCTCCAAACGGGTTGCTGTCCATAATAACATATCACAAGAAACTCATATTTTTTTTATATGAATAAAAGCAATTAATCAATTGTCAAGTAAACCTTATACGAGGAGACTAATAATCAAAAATGATTTTAGTATTATAAATACATATACAAAATATTATATTAAATTGTAATACATAGAGCGATAGTTTTATACACTGTCGTATTAAGCAATGTCAGCTGTTTACGGCGAATTAAAATATAGTTAATACACAAACCTTTAGAGTAAAAAGTGTACATGACTAACCAAAAATTAATTACATTGTGACATGTAATACCAACAACAAAAACACTTATTACTATATATATTAATATTATTAGTATTAATATATGTTAATATTATTAATTTAATAATAATAATTATTATTAATATTATTAATATTATTAGTATTGTTATTAAAATTAATAGCATTAGTATCAGTATTAATTAATTAGTTACTAATACATAAAATGTGTTAATATGTAATCTTAATATTAAATTAATGCTTAATTAATATGAAATTAATATTAAATTTAATATTAATATTACCACAATAATATTAAATTAAAACCTAAATGCTTGCATACGGTTCAAATGAAAAATTAATACAAATTCTGAATAAAAAAAGTTTTCTAATATATTCAAATATTTTAAAACATTTATTTATATAGTCTTATGCCAATTTTTGTTGTGAAATGAAAAATGAAGTTACCAAGTTCCAGATAATTTCAAATTAATATAAAAGATTTGATATAAAAACGGAAAAATTTTACATAAATTTGGACTTGCCTTACACAGCGAATTCCTAACCAGAGTACAGTACGCAAAAATTTAGCCAACCACATTGCAATGACAGAAGCATTTGTAGTCTTTTAATGACAGCAGGCGTTTACTAATTATTTTTTTATAAGGGCCATGTTGTAAAGAGAGTCATGGATATGTAAACATGTCTATAGACATAATAGTATAAAAGTACAATCGTGGTTGAGTTAAGTCGGATGTAACAAATGTTTCTTTAATAATTTTTATTATATACAAATTACAGATGTCTTAAACTTTTATATCATATTGTATAATATTATATATAATATATCGTATATTGTATGTGTTGTACACATAACTAAATATAAAGATTTCATATTATATTACAAAACTACAATTACAAAATAATTAGTGAGAAGTAATTTCTTTTTCTAAAACAACCCTGATTTGAATTCGCTTCGTTATTTTTCGCTGCTACACCATATATTAAATCCGTAATGACAGATTTTGACGTATGTCACTCGTCGGTTTACCGCATAGCATTTCATTTCAAAGTTTTTGTTGTTATATCTTTTGTATTTGTATTCGCAATTTCTTTAAATATTTTAGCAAATATTTAATTGTTTGTGGTGTTAATATCATTACACTTTAAATTAGCAACGAATTAACTATTGTAATGAGTAATGAACTGTTGCAATACTTATTGCAAGGCTCAAGCAATTTGTCGCCGAATGCAAAAGGTAACTGCATTTTGTTGCAAAATATGTTTGATATTTTTGTAAAATGGAAATTTAAATAATTTAATTTTAATATATATTAGAAATATTCTTACTCCACGCTGAAGATGAGTTTAATAAGGGAAATATGTTAAATTCAATATTTTATCAAGTACGCGCGCTTTTTCAATCATTTCTCGATAATTACATGGAGGAAGCATATTGGAACACGACGCACTTCAAAGAAGCAAAAATTATGAGTCAAATGAATGATTGGGAAAAGGAGGACTTTAAAAGGTGAACTTGAGCATCTTCTATTAACATTAATTTTAATTTTATAATTAATTTATAAACTTGTAGTAATCCCTTGATGCAATATGCAGTAAAGACGTTAGCGGAGAAAAATAAAACTAAAAACGAAAAATGTGATTGCTGTCCCAAATCTATTGGCTATAATTTCTTGCAAAATATCACTGATTCTGTAAAAGGCATAGAGCAAATCAAAAAAATTTGTGCTGAATTTCCAACGCGTAAGTTAATATAAAAAAATGTTTTATATACGAAAATGGCTCTGAAGTTGATATTGATTCCTGAATTTTTTTGGGAAATAAATCATGTGCATGTAGTGCAGGAATAGCTAGGATTTTAAATTTTTTATAATTTTCAATTTACCACCAAATTTTTTACAGTTGATTTATTATCTGTGATGTATTTAGTTTTTTGTTTATTTATTTTTTATTAAGTTTTTTTTTTAATGAGTATATTAATAGTTATTTTTTTTGTTAGCTTTTATATTCATTTCAATTTATTTACTCCATATCTTGTGTCTGTGTAGCTATTAACTTTTGAAAGTTGAATTATAATTCATGTTATTGTTGTTGTTGTAGCCCGCTATCAATATCAATGGTTCCATGAACGGCCGGGTCTACGTCCCGGAGCCACTCGTCGAAGACGACCAAGCGCCGTTTAACACCCCCTAAAGAGGTTATACTAGCAATTATAATCCATAGAATTATACTATACTTTTGCTATATAACATATTTTTACTTCACAATTATTAAATCTTCAAAAAATTTGTCTTATTATAACTTTTGGTGGTCTTTGTTCCATTAAAATAACTACAAATTTATTTTTAATCAAACAATTACAGTTTGGTTTGAGTCAACGTTTTCTTTATTGTGCGGTTTCAGGTATCTCTCAAATACTTTACTTGAGCTTAGTTCCTAATATTCATCGTGCTTAGGCCGTCTACTGCTGCTAACTACCTGTATTTTATATGACATTCCAACACACTGTATTACTGAAAGTGTTCTGAGAGCTAAGGCTTTCATTTTTTAATCCAATTGAATCAATTTAACCGCTCGTGTTTCTACGTAACATCAATCAAGTTTGCCAAACGCTTCCTTCTATTAATCGATAGAATAACAATAGATTAGGTTAATATAAGTCTATATCTATTGATAAATCCCAGTACACACAACTATATATGTTTTCAAACATACTATTGAAAACGCGCTGGGACCTGTGACATGTAAGGTTTACATGACGAATACATGGTTTGGGATACGATTATAGACTACACGAAATATTGCTAATTCGGATAAGTGTTTCAAATAAATGCATGCTTGTCTTATGGTAGTTGTTCATCAAGTACCATGAGCGATTAACGGTTGAGTTGTTCTTGTTATTTGTAATAAATCATAAGTTTCGGAATGTAATCCAGCCCTTCCATACATATAAATACTTTGTTGTGCCATTAATGTTAATTTAGTATAACGATATATTGCATATAAAGACAAATATACATATATCCAAAAAGTTTTTTTATTGCAAATGCTTATATTGTATATTCTCTATCATCAAAATCTGTAAGAAATAAAAATTAGGTTAAAGTATAATTAAAAACCCCAGTGTACTGTAGTGTCAAGAAATGTTAAATATCGCCACTCTGCGGCATTGAAGGTTGTCATATACATTGAATCATAATACAGTGTCAAGGATGTCATCATATTTACGATCGTAAAATGCATAAGATCATATAGTGCAATGGTCACCACTAGCGGTATTGTGGGATCCAGTAGGAAACAGTTTAACGTGTTGTTGGAAGCTCGTACTCGTATATGTCGATGCAAAATTTGCTTTCAGTTGCTTGATAAATTATTGTATCAATTATTTATTTTATATATTCAACAATATGTAATCATTATAAGCATATAATCTAGTTGTTGTAGACGGGATCGTTCTACGGGTGTTCTTGTAAATTACTTCGTTCACATTCGCTTCTAATGATGAAACTCTTTAAGAAGTGATTGTCATAGATGAAGTTTATGGCGGATTGCCACACATAACTTCATACAATTTTCATATTGTTATTACCATCTCACTTTTCATTATGATTAAATTTAAAAATACTTTATTTATTTTACAGAATGGACCATATTGCAAATATGTAAAGGACCACTGGCAAGGACCACCTATTCCATTTATCCGCAGATACATGAAAGCGATGCGTGCATTTATTTGACAATATTACGTCATGTTCGAAGTGCTAAATATCCTAACCCAATATGCATACGTTTAAGTAGTCCCAAGCAAAAGCAATTATACCGAGATATGGCAGTCATTCCATTGGAATTCAAACAGCACGTCAATATCAATGGACAAACATTAGATAAAGAAGCCAAAAAAAGATATTGGGATGTGCTTGGCGAATGTAATACAAAAATTATCGTAAGTACAAGTCTTATAATTCTGAAAAAATATTTCTAATTATATTTGTTTTTTAATGCAGAAAGTTTTAGAAGACTTCAAAGAGTTTCTATATCCATGGTGTTTCTTATTTCGAGGAAAACCTTTCCCTTCGCCAAATGTCGAAGCTTATGAAAACAAAGCATTTAAATCCGTTGATGAGTTCTGCAATACTTACAAATGGGGATCCAAGGAACGTGTGATATTGTCTTTAGCCGCGTTGCATGTGCAATCAATTTCACAGCTGGAACTGTTTGCTATTTGCAATACATTAACTGATAAAGAAAGAGAGCAAACCAAAGCTGCCAGTCTTTTATTTGAACTGAAAGTAACTTGTAAGTAAAGTTAATGCTAGTGCATACAAACTATTGATTATACTATTGATTGATTTGCATTTTTAGCTTTTAAATATAAAGAGTCTATTAAAGATTGGAAAGCGTCAAATAACTATCCTTGCATTCTGGTTGTCGATGAAGTAAGTTAATTACTCTCAGCTTAAAAATTTCAACCGTTTACTGATTAATATTTTTATTAAGCGTTTGGATCATTTCTTTTGGGAAGAGATAAGTGTTGGACAAGAATATACCCGTGTGAACAACCTGCAAATGCTCTATACACTTTTCAGTAGTCACAAAGAAAAAATTAGAAATGGTTACTTAAAAGTAAATATAACAAATGGAGCTTGTGTGATTAATCCTGGTTAGTAAATAAATATTTATTCTCAGCATTATTATGCATAGTAAAGAAAAAATTTATTAATCTATTGCATCTAACATTTTAGATAGTAACTTACCTAATACAGAAAAGCGTATGACTAAATTTTTTCAGTATTGGTTGCCACATTGGCAAATGAACATTGGTAATAAGCCTACTCAGGATCAACTACTTAAACAATTCTTCAAACAATCATGCTATGTGTTAGTAGTTAATTTATTTTATATTATTTATTAAACAATATTTTTAATATTCACTTGGTTTCTAGCTATGCTGGTCATGGATCTGGTCTACAATATATACACGGTAAATACATTGCCAAGCAACATATGAATTGTGTAGTGTTTCTCTTTGGCTGCGATTCTTCACGTCTGCATTCAAATGGTCTTTACAGTGAAATGGTGGGCCCACATCTCTATTACCATGCAGCGAAGTGGTAAGAAATGTAGTTTGAATTGTTAGTTTGTATTGTTAAATTTATTGTTTATTTAGTCCGACACTGGTAGGTACAATAATGCCTGCTTTAGACTCGAATATGGATACTGTAGCATCCTGCTTATTGAGTAGTTGGATAGCACCTAAGTCATGGAAAGATATTATACCTTGGACTTCCATAGAATTTCCAAAATGGTGTAAAGAAGGCATCATAAAACGTAAGAACATACATTTTCTTAAACTATATTTGTTAATTAATTCTAGTAAGTTATTATCGACAAAATAATTTAATATTATTGTTGCTATTATAACACTTGCGGTTCTGTAGAATAGGAAACTTGTATTATTAGATATTACAAAAAAAATATAAAGCCTGTTTGCAACTAAAAATGTTGCCATTTATTATATTAACTTAATTTTTCTCTTTCTATACAAAGACAATTAGACGATTTCATGGGTTAGAAATTCTCCTGCGTGCAACTAAAGTAGCTGCTCTCAAATTTAATAAAAAACTATTTCAACCTTTCCCTTTTTATCCCTGCTGTATAATAATGATCTACGAGTATTATGTACAAATAAGTCCTGAGAACAATACAGAACAGTGTGGCCATAGGTATGGATAGAATGTAGGAAAAAATAACCTAGAGAACTGGGCTTGTGTGGGATAAAGAGCAGATTAGCATTTGGGTGGGTATTGATTAAAACTAGTCTTGATAAAAGCAAAACAGAGGAAGGGATTCTTGTAGTGATAACCCGTGGAGATTATATAGCAGATAAATTAAAGGAATTGCAAGGTTCCACTCGTCGACGACCAAGTGCCGTTCCATACATCCCAAACATCAACATAAGTTGATTAAAGTAAGTTACAACAACAACAACAAAGGAATTACAAGTACGGAACGGTAAGGAATGTAATGATTGATTAAGGGAGTGTGAAAGGTTAGGAATTTGTTTAAAAAGCAATCAATTTCGTGAGTTTGGATATGAGGACAGATAGGTGACATCATATCAAGTATAGATGCAATTAGGGCTTACTATAGGCGTTAAAATATTTTTGCGTTACAAGTCGCTATGAGTAAGGTGGCTATATATTACGTGACTATATTTTAACTTTAATTGTGCGGAGAAAGTTTTATATAAAGAGAAGAAGAGGAGGTATTTTACAAATGTAAAATTTGTATACAATATCTTGCTTAGCCTTATAAATAATAATTATAATCTTTAATTTATAATTAATATTTTCTTTATTTATTTTACAGCTGATACCACAAATAAAAACCAAAGTCTACTGAAGAACAGTTACAATAAAGGTAGTTTATGTGCTCTGATCGCAAAAGTACATCAACGGAAAACCGAAGTAAAACACTACAATACCGTACCTTATGTTTGCCGTGGCTTACCAGCTTGGAACGTCAATGTAGAAAATTTACCATAATAGTCATAATAACTTGTAATTTATTTTAAATAATTTATAAATTTTAATTATTATTTTATATTTTATACTTTAATTTCTTGCAATATATCTTAAAATTAATTTTAGTTTAAATCATGCAATCGAATTGTTAAAAATAGTCGTTATTAGTTTAGTTTATATTTGTGAAAGGTATTAAGAAAAAATAGGAATTTACATGTATTCGTCATTGTTAAAACGCAAGCTATAATTCGTAATCCATTTGCTAGTAATCAATATATTTGTATTATTCAGCTTAAGATCGGTTAATATATTTACATTTACCCATTTTTACCCTTAATAGTTTTTTTAAATAAGGGATAGGGAATGCGTTAAAAACAAGTTGCAAAAACTTTTCGATATAACTTACTTTGTCTGTTTATATGTGTGACCAATATTTAATACTTTTTGTTAATAATTGTTTTATAAGCAGAATTACTCTAAGTAGATATTAATACCATATCTACTAAGTAGATATTAGTACCATATCTACTAAGTAGATATTAGTACCATATCTACTAAGTAGATATTAGTACCATATCTACTAAGTAGATATTAGTACCATATCTACTAAGTAGATATTAGTATCATATCTACTAAGTAGATATTAGTACCATATCTACTAAGTAGATATTAGTACCATATCTACTAAGTAGATATTAGTACCATATCTACTAAGTAAATATTAGTACCATATCTACTAAGTAGATATTACTACCATATCTACTAAGTAGATATTAGTATACCATATCTACTAAGTAGATATTAGTACCATATCTACTTAGAGTAACATATTATGTATATGTGTTTTTTTATTTATCATATTTTAAAATACTCATACATTTTAATTAATATACTTTGTAGGAAAAATGTAAATGCATTTGTTTTCCAAATAATATTTCCAAATACATTTAAAGATATATACGATTATAGTTTTGTCTAAATTGTGGTTATGTATTATTTATATGATTTTAAAACAAAAATATTGTTACCTCTTAAGCTCAGGTTTAAACTAAGTAAATACAAATGCAAATGAAAAATGTTTTGTCTTTTAAGTTAAAAAAGTTTCTACTCAGATACACCTTATCGGAGACTATTATTAGTGTTTCTTTTATTAGAAACATTATTAATAACCAAGGAAATATTAATTCAGCTGTGTCGAATTTTTCTTTTCAGTATAAGACCATTTTGTAGGTATAATTATAATATAAAAGTTTGTTACAATAGACACTTGAGTAAAGGACTAAAATTTAATTTGTTGCTATTTATTTCAGAGATTTTACAGATTTTTCTTCCTGGACATAGAAACAACGAAGTGAACGAGAAAGCTGACAATTTAACCCACTCTGGTGCTTCCCTGTATCTTTCCCTAACGGTACCGGTTCATGTTACTCTAGAGACCATTAATAGAAATACTTAGCTCTACTTTTTTCAACTTTCTTCAACTTGCCAATATGAATTCCCTTAAGGTATGTGCAAAATCTCGCGCTAGTTCATCTGCTTTTTCGTTTCCCTCAAATACGGTGTATCCTGGGATCCATATTCAGTGAACCCTGCTCCGTTCAACAAGGTCTTTCAGAAGTAGAAGACATTTCTCACTTATTTAGAGGTCACTTGAGGGTAGCGTTGTGCTAGGAGTGCTGATTTACTATCAGAGAAAATATATATGTTTTTCTCCGTGACGGGTCTCCCTTTATATTCCCTTAGACACAGTTCAATTGCGTGTACTTCTGAAAAAAGTACACGTGTACTGCCTGAAAAACTGAGTTTTCTTGACTCATACTCGCAAATATTTCCTCTTTTGTTGTTTAGCTATAAAATATTATGTATTAAATTGTTGTTACTCAGAGAGTTATTATAATCAATTTTTGTCTTATAATGGGCCTGTTCCAGGTATTCAAGCTATATCGACATATAGCACGTATTGGGAAAATTTGCTCTAAATAGTTAACTCTACTAAATCCGTTGTAAAACTGGTGTGTCAGGGAAACTCAAGTCTCTTTAAATTTTAATTTAAAAAAAAAACAATACAAGTATCTTCAATAGATATTTACTGTGGAATGAATTTATTTTTTTTTATATTTATTTCTTTCGTTCATTTAATCAATTTGAGCCAAATCGAGCACCGACGTCATCTTTAAGTGAAAAAAAGAGTTAATCCGAAGATATTAATTAAATCAAATTAAATTAAATTTATTAATTTAATAAATTTTCTTCTTTTTATAAAAATCGTAGTTTAAAATTAAATAAATTAAATTTTTATATATCTATATATTTTTATTTTTTATATTTGTATTTTAAAAGAATAATTCTTTCATTTTTTGCTCTACTGTGGTTAAAACTCTTTAATGGTTGTTGTTGTTTTTTGTTATGGGAAGCGAACTTATATGAAAACTTGTTGCTGGCAATTGAAGCGGTAATGCAATGTGAACGAATTGTAGCGCTTCTTTGTTTTTGTTTTTTATTTTTTATTTTCGCATTTCGTGATTTTTGTTTGGCTATTGTTTTGTTTTTGTGGAGGTTAAAAATAGCAATGCGCGTCATTCTAAGTTTTCTTACTTTTGTTTGAAGTGAAGAGCTTTTTGCGTTAATTATAATTCTCAGGTGGATTTTTGGGAAATTGTCGTTTATATATGAGTTCATGCTTGGATACTCTCAGCGATTTGGAGTTCTCACAGTTGAAGTGGTTGGACACATCCCATTAATTGTGTTACTAAGATTAAAGATTGGATATATAAGATCAACAATTAAGTATAGAATATATAAAGTAAAATACAATAATTCATACAACTCTTGTAACTTATACGAGAAAAACAGTAACTATGATATAAGTTAGAAACTAGAACTGCTGGGATCCATTTGTAATCGCCTTTTTGGCTATTTCGACACAAAAAAAATTTGAAAAAGTATTTATATTTAATTATTTATTATATTTAATTATTTATTTATTTATATAATTTTAATTTTATTATGTGATATTTTTAAATTTATAATCATTTTATATATAATTTTATATATTATAAAATTATAATATTTTCTAAAAACTGTTTTGGTTAGACAATCGCATCTATATGGTAAAGTTCGTTAATAAACAAGTTTTTGGTATTAATCTTAATTAAATTACTGTATAAATTGTAAGCAAATTGTTTGGCAATCAGAAGGCTTTTCCAACGTTCATGAGTCCATTATTGTCACACCTAAACATAAACAGGTGATAAGAAAGGCTTAATATTTTAAGCCTTTTTAATAGATCTCGCTCTTAATGTCCGCATTATATTAGAAAATTATATTAGATTAGATTATATATTAGTATATTATATATTACTATTTGATTATACATTATTATATTAGATTATATTAGTTGTAGTTCACTTTTCTAATTATTTTTAATTCATAAAAAAAGACTAAAGTTGAAAAAAATAAAATGTTATAGATTAATTTTTATTTTTGTTTTTACTACTTCATAGTAGTTTGTAATACTATCGCCTAGGTGTTTATTATAATTATATATAGGCTAACGAGAGTTATATAGACTACTAAATAATAATAAAAATAAAAATGAAAACTAATCTAATCTAATTTATTTTCATTTTAGCCATTTTATTAATTACAAAAGAAAATTAAAATTAACTGATAAAGATATTAGCTTTGGTTTGAACTGAGACAGATTGACGAACAGGGGTAAATAAACTTAAGTCGTCAAGTTGATTATAAACATGTATACCTTTTGGGGTTTATGCCGTTTAAGTCAATAAGTTACAAAAATTTTGATAAACCTACTACACGTTTTTTATACTTGCTTGTGTAAATATTATAAAAAGACAAAAAACTTATAATCAAATAAAATATTTTATCTGTCTCTAATTCTACAAGTAATCAAAAAGTAACCTAATCTGTTATATAGCTATGATTAACCGTGATTCAAAGATTGGGGGTGGCGTAGAAAGTGGGCTTTCTTTTTTAAGAATCTTGGTGAACTTTAGGACCTCCCTTTAAATAGCATCATAAACTTTGCCAAAGCTTCTAGTTGGTTTTAACCCTTAGGTTTTTAATAATACGGTAGCACAATGGGCCTGTAGGCGTAAATGGATCTGCCTAGGATCGCCGGTATAATCTAACCAAACCTAACCTATGACTAGTCGACCAATATCATGAGAACAGTGAAAATTTTAGTTTACCTTTACTTAAAATAACTACCAGTAAGGTTTCCTTTAGGCACTCTCAGTATGATCTGGGTCTTTTGTTTGAATTGTTATGATGAGAGGTAATATAAATTTAGAAAAATTTGTTACGTTACTGTTTGGATCTGTCCTGAAAAAGGGTGGAAAGTTTATACTTTGAAGAAATGTTACTGGAGGAACTGGAGGTTTATTCGTAGTGCATATTGCTTAAGTAGTGATGAACAAGTATGTTTGTTTGTATGATAATATAATGAGTAAATTTGGTGAGTAAATTTGAATTATTTCAGTAAAAAAAGTATTTAAAAAAAATTAGAAATATTTCGATAATCACAATTTTCCATAGAAATAATTGGGAAGTATGTAAGATATTATTAATACTAATGGGAAACGAAACGTTCTATAGGCATGAAAACAGACTGAAAAAATAGAAACTAAATATTAAAATGTTAAAAATGAAAAAAAAAGATGGATAAAATTAAATTAAATATAACTTATACCAAAAATATTCTATATTTCTATTCAAAAATATTTTTTATTTGCATTCCAGTCACAAGACCAGAGTAGCCTAAATAAAAATTAGGTTACTTCATTATTTTATATTTAATTGATCGAAATATTAAAAACGTTTTTGTAATATAAATAAAAAATAATATTAAAACTATATAAAGAATGTGTATAATAAAATATATTGAAAAATGTGAATAAAATATACATTTTAGAAAATAATAGCTTTTTTGTATTTTTAATAAAATAAATTAAAATCAAAATAAATATTTAATTTATTCTATAAAAATTTTCTGAGCTTTTAACTTTCACAAATATGTAAATATGTTTATATTTTC